CCTTACATCAAATCATTTGAGAATAATGATATTATTGAAATTTCAATTAATAGAAACGATGCGTGGATGCTAATGCATGATGCAGCTTTATCGAAAAGAGGAAAGTTAAAGAAAACTGCTGGAGCTGGCAACGTTAAATTCGTCAACAATGCCGGTGCATTTTTCTTTGATTCAATCACATATTTGTTGAACGGGATTGAAATGGAACATGTAAAAGATCCTGGTATTACGAGTCTAATTCGAGGCTATTTGTGCTATACTGAAGAAGATAGTAATCATTTAAATGTTGCCGGCTGGAATTATCCCGACGTTCCAGCAACTTATACAGATGGTGCATTCTTCATGAGAATTCCTCTCTACCATTTATTGGGGATTTTTACACACACGACAAAAAGAACTTTAACTTGGCAGATTAATTATATTCCCTTTGGTTATGCTGCAAACAAAATTCGTGCTGTAGTGCAAAAGGCCTTCAAACTTTGGTCTGACGTAACAAATTTGAAATTCATCAATAATTGGTCATCTTCAAAACCGGACATAATGATATCATTTGGAACAAAACAGCATTCCTTCAACAGCAAATGTACAAAATCACCATGTAAATTTGATTTTGATGGGAAAGGACTGGTATTGGCTCATGCTTATCCTCCGACTGTCAACGATAATGATTGTATCGAGATTCATTTGGATAGAAGTGAAGATTGGTACTTTGGATTGGATGGAAAAATATCTAATTATGGTCAAACGAGTTTGCTGTGGGTATTAGCTCATGAAATTGGACATACATTAGGATTAAGTCATTCGGATGAAACAAATTCCTTAATGTATGCATATTATGGTGACATTTCCAACTTAAGTACTGATGATGTAAGAGGAATTCAGCATCTGTATAGGAAAAAGCAAACACAGAATTCAGCTACCACAATTTCCACGCCTCCTTCTCATCCTAAAACTACTCCTCCTACTACTACTACTACTACTCATCGTAAAACGAGTACTCCTACTTCCTCTAAAAGTACTACTACTAGTACTACTACTACTACTACTCCATCATTGGTACCTGCACACAAACCGACAAATTATCAGGATATTTGTAACGTAGATCCTAAAGACTTGCAATTTTTGGTATTGCATCACAAGCTATACATCATTATTAAAAATCGATTATGGATTATGGATTTGGAAACAAAAAAATTTACTACAAAGGACTTATCTATTCATTCAGTGTTACCGTTTTTACCTAAATTCGAGAAAATAACTGCGGTTTATCAGAGACCTTCCGAAGAAATAATAATAATTATTGAATCTGAAATATTCGCCATCAATGATAAAAACTTCCAGTTAATTAGAAAATCAAACGTTTCGGAAACAATTGCTGCACAATTCAACAATAGGAAAATAATAGGTGCAGTAAATTCGTATGCTGGAAAAACTATTTACTTTTTCGAGGATAATTACTATTTAATAATAAATAAATGTAACCTTGCTGTGGAAAAATTTGGTTACATTTCAAAGGACTTTATTGGAATACCTGCATCTATGGATAGTGTCTTTAGATACATTGATGGGATGATATACTTTTTCCAAAATGGCCGCTATTTCGAATATAATGAGTTTACAAATTCTTTGAAAACATCAGATAAAATTGATTTATCAAAATTTGATATTCAGTGTCCCAATTTAACTTTATATGAACAATTGAAAGAACTATTGACACGCCTATTATTGGTTACGTAAACAAATGCAGCTCATCATCATCAGTCGTATTCCAAACCATCATGAGCAGCACACTTGCCGAGAGAATTCAAAATTACTTAGTAAATCTATCTAAATTGAAAAAAGACTTGGACTTCTATCAAGAAAAAAAGTTGTTCAATAATTTCAAAAATTTAAAAATGGATTCAAAATGGGATCACGTATTCACATCAACATCCAGATTTGCAAATGGACCAGCAACAAGCAATCGGAGAATTGTTCCAAAGACCGTTTATCAAGAATATAATATTGGAGATATTGTGCAAATTATTTATAATCCTGAGAAAACGGACATTGTCTTACACCACAAGAACGAAACTTCTATACCATTCACCTTCAATGAATTTGAGGAATTTTTACAGTTTCTCGATAATGTAAATGATGGTTGGTATGATGTAAATTTCTACATTGGAGAATTCATTTATGTTAGCTATTGGAATGAGGAAGAAAGTAAAGGTCTGACTATGGTGGATATGCGAACAATGGGAAAAATTTATTGGAATGAAAATCATCTTGATTTAATTCTAGAACATAAATATAACCTGTATGATATTTTTCTTAAATAAAAAATTGAAATAAAAAATTTATTCTGGCCTATTTCTTTTTCTCCTCTACCAAAACCACAATAAATATGCCATAAATAAAACAACTACCTATGTAGAAATATAAAGTGTTTTTTATTATCAATATTTCTACAACAAAAAAATAATAAATTCCTCCGGAATCATTATGTCTTGATCTTGTCGATGCGTTTTGACGTTTTCTCGATGCCGTTAACTCTAAAAATTGAAAATGTTTTAAGTATTAATTTAATAATTTATATGGTATACTAACAATTCAACAATTTCGAAAATTGGTGTTGGATTCAGGCCTTTAATATCTCGCATGCCTTTGAATTTCAATCCAAATTTCCCAGCCTCGAAGTGCTGAATGTTTTGTTTAATTGAATCGGTTGCACGTTGAGGAAGAAAGGTAATGTTTGTATCCATTTCTACTCGGGCTGCTTCTCCAAATTTTGAATTCACTATAGTCACACCCAGAATTGGATAGGGATGCTCTGGAGTCAAATCTTGTAGCTTTAAGTAGGACTTTTCCTCAAGACAGGCTGCTTGGTTAATTTGGGGTAAATCCATGATTCTATTATTAAACTAAAAATAGAACAACGTATTATTACCAGGGTCTTTAAGAATAATGAAAAAAATTACTTACATAGTTTTTAGCACTAAATACACACAATCAATTATAACTGAGGTAACGCCCAATTTTGAATTAAGTTTTCGTTGAAAAATTCGATCTGGATGAGCACTGAAGAAAAACGTTGTGTCACCTAGGGACGTTAAAATCTAACTAAAATTTGAAAATGAATAACAAGTACCAGGCCAGCCAGCTGCGTTTCGTTATCGTCGCAGGAAATGCGGCTTCCGTGTGATAACAGGATTAAGCAAGTTCACACACAACTTGCTGTTCTTGTTGTTTATGAGAACGGTAGAAATTATAATTATTTTAAAAATAATATTTGGGGCCCCCAATTAAATCGTTACAAGTCCGTGAAAAATGGGGCCCAAATTGGAGCACTATTTTTTCAATGATGATGATGATGATGACGAGGCATGTCGTCTTTTATGTGACCATATTTTTGTTTAGAAAAATGGGGCCGACGACGAAAAAAGGGGGCCCAGTACGGTGTATCTTGTTACAAGTAACGGGGTACCAGGTACGAGGTACCAGGTACGAGTTCCATGCGACCACGACGAATGATGAACAAATTGCGGGGCCCTGTTTTCATAACCTTATTTGGGGGGGCCCTCCCATTGCATTTTCCCTAGATTTAGACAATTTCCTCATAGGCAACGTCGCGGCGAATTCAAGTATTAGTTTTGGCAACGTCGCACCTGTCAACTTGTCGTCGTCACTGAAATGGGGCCCATAATTTTAGGTTATGAGTTCATGTAAATGGGGGCCCTCTGTGCGGGTCTAGCAGTGGGGACAAGCACGTATGGCCCCTTTGATGACGTCACTTGGGTTAGGACTCTCCACTTGCCGAAAAATTGGGGCTCACCGAAAAATGGGGCCCTGTCACTGAAATGGGACCCATAATTTCAGGTTATGAGTTCTAGTTCATGTAAATGGGGCCCCGGGTCTAGCAGCGGGGACAAGCATGTGGCCCCTTTGATGACGTCACTTGGGTTAGGCCCCTCCACTTGACGAAAAATGGGGCCCACCGAAAAAATGGGGCACAGGCTCACCTGGGTTAGGCCCCTTCAATTTGGGGCTCCTCTGATGACGGGCGCGGGCCCAACGACGAATGACAGGTCACTTCCGCTCGGGAACCGGCCTTGTATATCTACTCACACGTCTTTGAAAGAGATTCAGGGACTAAATTCAACGCCAATTTTTGAAATTGTTGAATTGTAAGTATACCATATAAATTGCTGCAAATTGCAGAGACGAGTAATTGTATCGTAAGTAATGATACGAAATCCATCGTTGTTTTACACCTCATTGATGACTTCCACAAATTCAACTCAGGAAGATTTTTTTTTATTTTCAACTAGCTTTATTGTGGAGTGTGTGGGTGTGGGTGTGAGGGGTTGAGGGTGTGGGGTTAACTATAGAAAACAAAACTGAATGCAGCATAGGAATATAAAATTTTAGCCCTCAGCGTTTTATAGGATGGGGATTTTATATGTCCTACTTGTTTCAGACATGTTGAGCTATACTTCATCAACCGACAGAATAATGGATAACGGTTTCAATCACCAGTGACATTGTTATAACCAATGAAGTTTATCCGAGCTTTCAAGATTCGGAAACATTCTCCTGATGCAAGGTCAAAAACAACACCTAGAGTCATGCTTGCAGAATGTCAAAAGTATGAGGAACCTGCTTGTTCAAGATCAATATGCCGGAAAAGAGGGAGGATTCCATTATGTGTGGATTAAAAATTTATCCAGATTGGTATCCTCACAATTAAGCGCACACGATGGGAAAAAACACATCTGTGATCGCTGTCTACACTATTTTAGATCTCAAGATAAGCTCGACAAACACGTTGAAGGCTGTGTGAAGATAAATGAAACCTCCATCAAGATGTCGGAAATTGGGAAAAATATATTAAAATTTAAAAATTTCAAGAACAAGGAAAGGGCGCCTTTCATAGTATATGATGATTTGGAAAGCGTCCTAACACCTACAATTATTTTTTTAAAATTCCTTTTATTTAATTTATATTTTAGAATTATTTATTAAGTTTCGATTCCATAATTTCGCATCATTTCGCTATTCATAAGTAATTGTACAGGTGGCTGATTTGGTGAAAAATTGGTGCAATAATCAAATGTTCCATCCATAAACAAAGTATTTTGTCCACACATAAATTTCATATTTCTCAAACACGAAAATACAACAATGTTGTTTTCAATATCGTTAATCAGCAAAAAATTCTCATCCAAGATAGTTGAAATCTCAATTGATCTCAAAAAATCATGGACGTCGGATGTAGATCGCGGTAACTTAGGCATAAGTTTGAGCTTTGTATGACTTATGTTATTCCGAATTTGCTTAATGTCTTTAAGAGTCGAATTTTGTTGATTCAGTTCCATATGTATTATTTTAGACGGTCTTTCCGTTACAACTATGTCACCATCACGAATCTTGCGTTTTAAACTATTATTGACTTGTTGACGATTCAAGTCTCTAATATAAATTTTTTCGTGACTATGGGATCCACTAACTTTGGAGAACACATCATCAGTACCTATAGTATATAACTTCATATTACACGTCTTTTTGATGCAGCTCCAACACATTTCTCCGGTACTTTTAACTCGATATTTAAAAAAATTATGTCCATCATGTAATATCAAAGGCTTACTACGTTCACTAAGCATTTTAATAATTTTCTCCATCTTAACTAAACCACTATTGTTACAATACTGAGCAAAACTATCTTTATCCAATACTCTACTGTTTACCTGTTTTGTCATGATTATTATTATTCCTAATTTATTCGTAATTTAATTACCTCGGGCCATACCGGAATTCGGACAAGAGTTTAGGATTCCTCAGCCCCCAAAAATAATTTGACCTGGCCATACCGGAGTTCGGGTGCACTGGATTTGGCGGTTTAAACTTGTGGAATATTAGAAATAACAGACTCAATTTTTTTTTACTATAATATAAAAGGCATACTTTTCCTGCGAAGGCAAAAGTCAAAAAAAGAAAATTTTTATTCTAAATTCTAATTAACAAAATATATTCTATAAGTAGTGTGTGAAACGTTTTTTTTTTGTCACAAAAATGAGACTTCAATAAAATTCACCCAGATGATATTACAAAACAAGACTGTAGTACCTGCCTTAGAGCTATACCGATTATTTTTTCAGTGCTCTAATTGAAACGACAATAAAAAAAGACAAGTTCCACATTTTCATAATTTTTCTGCTAGAAAAAAATTCTGCGAGTGTGTACATTTGAAAAATAATTCGAATGAAAGGAGAAGCCAAAAACCTATGTTCAATAAACCTTAATTTTCCCACCTGGTTTAAGTTTGAGGAATTTGCATCTGTTCAAGAATAATCATGCAGTTTTTACATATGTAAAGAAAAAAAAGGGTTGTGCATCCTGTTCACGATTTGGCAGTATAAACAAAGTTCGAGGACATTTTATTTTTATTGATTCTATCCACTAAGACAAAATAAAAATCAGTAGAAAATTCGATTTGTAAAAATGTGAAATTGTTGTAACAAGATCGTCGTTATACACATAGCCTAGACCACAACGATCATGAGAATCAGGGAAAAATATAAATTTAAAAAGGCGTGAACAATAATCACAGCGATTTAGCATGCTGCAAAAATCTTTCTTCAAGAACGAATATTGCACAAATACTGAGTCGAAAAATTGAAAAAAAGACTTGTGGGAATATATGAAAAAATCTGAGAAAAACTTACTGTGTCAAATTTGAATCGAAGCGAAAAAAATTAGAGCACTTGGAAATCACGAGTTCAGCAACGCACACAATAGACACTACTTGTAAAAGCATCCGAAATTAAATCAGGGCGTGAAAATTAGGTGTGTTGGTTGAAGAAAAGAAAAAATCGTGAGTTGAAAAAGCAGTGCACGGAACGACCGACTAGCGAATAATGAAAAACTTTCAAAAAACATTCGCTGGGGTTTATGTGAAATATAAGTTAATTATCAACAACGGAAACTTAAGGTTTAGGAAATGTGATAAAAATTAGCGTTTCATTATCAACGATCTTAACTATGCAGTATTGGAAACCACAAACTTTCGCTTGATGCTTGTGATTTTATTATTTAGTTTTCTCGTTGTTTTTGCAGTTCAACTTTAATTTATTATACGGTGGCGCGCATTTTAATTATCACATTTAATTATTAGTTTTCTAATCAGTAGCGTAGATTGATTTTAGAAAACACTTACCTCATCGTAAAACTCGATTTCCAGTAGCAGAGACATCAGGTTGTTTTGAAGGAGCGCTCAACAACATAATAGAGAGAGAGTCGAACGGAGTTTGAAATTTTAATTTTATAAGCTTTGGCTCAGTATTCAGGATAAACGGATATAATAAAAATATCAACAATTTGAAAAACATCTATTATGAAAATCTAGAGTGTAATTTATCAAGATTCTTAAGTATTTTGCTCCTTAGTTCCCACAGTGGGGGAGGAGCTTTGAAAAAATAAAAATTCGTTGATGTTGTAGATTTCACTCTGTTGAAAATAGTGAGCATTGCAGCTTCTCCTGGATCTTGGCTTCTGATGGGCTTTTCCATGTATGAGAATCTAGCCACTTCAATTTCCTGCGATATACGCATTAAATTGTTTGTCTTTATAAACGTCCCAAAAATGAAGATTGATCATAATATTTTCTCCTCCTGAGTTATACATTAGAGTTCCATATTTCAACTCAACTTCAATCCTAAATTTCTTTGCAGCTTCCCAAAATATAATCGCAGCTGGTAAACAGGCGTCGTAATATTTTTTTAATAATAAACTCTTTTTCTACTATAGCTAGAATATTGTTTAAAATTTGTTGCTCTAACGATGATGCCGTCATGCTGGTACGCTTGTAAAATGATGATTAAAGTTAATATAATCGCATATCTCCTTTTTATACTGGAATATTTTATGCTTTAAAAATCGAAAAATTGAAAAATCATCGGTCTAACATATTATTGATGAATAACAATTTTTTATTTGAAGATTCGCCAATTACCAATAATTAATAATATTTTTAAACTTATATAAACTGGTCACATTAAAATATTCCTAAATGCCTCAAGTTTTTCTTCTAATACCGTTCATTATCAAAAGCTTGTTTACATTATTTTTGCCTGTATGACCGAGGTGGCAGGCCACTCCTCATGATTGCGTTACCTCCTTTTCACCATTTATTATCAACTGCTAGAATAGCCTAGTGGGGTTGCTGCAGCGGGCTTTCCAGCTGGGGACGGGAGATAGGTTCTCAGCGGCTACCGACTTTTTTTAATTATTATTTCGCGATGCAGTAGCTGCGCGGGTCGATTATATATGAGATATGAGAGTGAGAGAGAGGTATGTATAAGGTATGAGAGCATGAGAGCGAGAGTTACGGCATCAGCAGTACTTTGGTATCAAGTCGCCTTTTTTTCAAGAGGGGTTTAGGAAATCTGTTTGCAGACTGTCCCCGCCTGGTGATCTGACGGCGGGGGATGTGTCGGGTTGGCGCCCTACAAGAGGGTTGCCGACCGACTAAAACCCTTTCCCTCGGTGCAAAACCATCCGGAACCGCTCACGCATTACTTCAGATGGATGCCTCGACTTCCTTCATTCTGTCTCCAGTTCGTCAGTGTGTTTCTGGCTCATAATACTTTGTATCATAGCATCGATCGTATCCCACTTTTCTTTGTTCATAGTCATTATCTCTATTAGATTTTCAGGGGTAGCTACATATCCCACCTGTTGCCAGCATCTATCTCTCTCCTGTCTCCACTGATGACAGTTGAAGATGGTTTGCTCTGCATCGTCTTTTTCTCCGCAGTAGGTACATTCCTCGTCCTTCGTCTTCCCGATTTCCCTCGTGTAGCCTCTGAAGCTTCCATGTCCTGTGAGAGCCTGTGTTAAGTGGAAATTTGTTTCCCCATGGCTGCGATCTAGCCAGAGTCTAATATTGGGTATAAGGCGTTTAGTCCACCTACCCTTCGAGCCTCGTTGCCACCTATCCTGCCATTTAACTAGTAGCCGTTCTCTGTATTCCTTCCGAGCCTCTGTTCTCAATTCCTCCGCTGTTTAGAATATGGCTTGCCTCTCCTCTATCAGAAGATCAATTGGAGGTAGTTCCGCAATCAGCAGAAGTGCCTCGGTCGAGACCGTGCGGTATGCGCTTGCGATACGAAGGGCCGACTGTCTCTGTACCGCCTCAAGACTAGTGTGGTTTTTTTTAGTCTCAATGCTCTTTCCCACGCTGGTGCCGCATATAATAGTATCGCCCTTGCCACCGAGGAGATTACCCTTCTTTTATTTGCCTTTGGGCCTCCGATATTTGGCATCAACCTACCCAATGTGCACATTGTTTGACTAGTTCTGGCTGCAGTCTTTTCCACATGTGCTGGAAATTGCTGTCTATCCATACTCCGAGGTATTTTAGCGAGGACTTGGTGACTATGTCCTGGTTTAGTATTCTTATGGTAGCCGTGGGTTGACGCTTTTTCAGAGACAGAAGTACAATCTCTGTTTTCTCCGGAGCCAGATCCAATTCATTTATTTCCAACCATTTTGTGATATTGTGCATTGCCTGTGTCGTTTTTCGCTGGATTTCTGGGGTGTCGGTTCCCAGCACCATGAGAGCTACGTCATCAGCGTAGCCCACAAGCGAGACTCCCTCTGGTTGCGGCAGAGTTAGGAGGCCGTCATACAGAATATTCCATAGTGTCGGCCCTAGCACCGATCCCTGGGGGACTCCGCATCTCATATCAATACTAAAAAAACGATTTCTCGGTCGACGAAATAGCTCTGGATAATTTTAATAAGGTACGGTGCAGTCCTACGTTTCCTTAGTTGTTGTATTATTTGTGGCCATGGTGCACTATTGAAGGCGTTTTTAATGTCTAACGTTATCATGGCAACCATTTTTCGATGTCTGTGGCTTCGCTTGCCTATTGCTTTCAGAGCTATTTCGCATACTTTCCGGACCGCATCTGTTGTCGATCTATTTTCTCCAAAGCCATATTGCTAATCAGAGAGGGTTTTCCTCAGATTCAGGTCCTCACCAAGCCTAGCTCGAATCAAGTGCTCCAGTAATTTGCCAGGTGTGTTCAGAAGGCAAATGGGTCTGTACTTAGCGTTCTTGGTGTGCCACTTTTTTGGCTTCTCGATCAAAACTAGCTTGGCGCGCTTCCACTCTACCAGGAACTCTCCCGTTTTCAACATTTGGTCAAAGGCCGGGCAAAACATTTCTGGTTTTTTTGAGAACTGCCTGTTGCAGAATCTCTGGTGGGATTCCATCCAGGCCTGGGGCCTTTTTCATTTTCAGCCTTCTAGCCGCCTCGATGAGCTCTGCTGTCGCGAGCTCGGGAATTACATGGCCGTTTAGTGGAACTTCATTCCAGGCTATTTCAGTCATTGTGGGAAAGAGTTGTTTGGCCACCTCAACCATCCTTTCCATGGTGAGAGACCGCCCTTCTGATCTTAGTTTGAGTGTTCTCGAGACTATTTTATATCCTTCTCCAAAGCAATTCTCGTCAATGTCTTCGCATAATTTGCGCCAGCACGATCTCTACTCCTTCTGAATGGCTGCCCTTAGCTATTTTTTATTGAGGGTATATTCCGTGGCCGCATCTTCTGAGTCGAGGTGATTTTTCCTGTTAGACCTGGTTAGTTTTCTTCTGCTTGCAAGGCAGCGTATCCTCAGTTTAGAGATCTTCTCTGTCCACCAGTATACCGGCTTCCGATTGCCGCGTGATCCAGTAATCTTGGGCATTGTGGC